AGGGGGAGCAATCTGCATCAACCCACAGAGAAAGGAATGTCTGTAAGGCTGAACAAACCATTAAATGCTAGTTAGCATCTTTTCTCCCTTGAGGCATTTTCAGCTCTGTTGTTTCTTTCCAATAGTATAGCCCCACTCTTCTCAAAAATTTTGAAGCATCTAAAGAATCCAGACTAGGGGAGGAATTTGGGGGAAAAACTGATTTGCCATGGGATCCAATTGTCTTTTTTTTCCTTGCTTTTTGCAGCCATATTATCATCTGTCTGTCTGTCTGTTAAGTTTTTAACACATCCATAATATACATGCTCACGTAACTAGATATCTGAGATTTTTCCCTGTCTGAACTAGCAGACCTGATCTGAACTAAACTCTTCTGTTTACATTAAATGTTCTTCATTTCATCAATATATGAGTATATATTGTTATTGCAATTTTTAAAAATGATTGTTTTTTTTTAAAAAAAATCTAAAATGTATAGTTGAGTAATATCTTGCTTAGTTGTACCATGTCTGCTGGCTCTTGGGGTCTCAGATGAGATTTTACAAATTTAGGAGGCAGAACAGAAAATAAGAGCAGCAGATAAAATTAGTCTGCTCTTCAACCATAAGAAATTAGAAAAGTTTCTCAATTCTTTTTATTAATTAATTTTGGAGATATTGCTAATCAGTAGACAATATGGCAGATGATTATTCCTAAAGAAATACAATTGCATGTCATGTAAAAATCTGGTACGTAAAAAAAATATTAACTTATATTCCATGCCTAGTACCCAGATTATACTGAGAGAAGGAAAGGTAGCAATTTATGAATTCAGTATAGGATAAGGATTATCCAAAATAAGAGTATGGAATAAGTTTGGTCTCACATTTCATATTTTCAATAGTCCAGGTCTTCTGATGACCACAGCTTCAGATGACTAGATCTTGTTGATGGAACCACAGCCGCTAAGACCAGAAGATTCTTCCATGGTGCTCTTCCTTGCAGTAGTTACTGATGTTTGCTGCCACTTTCTTAGCATGGTCAAATTTGGCACACAAATGCAGTTAGAAAGTAGAAGAATGAGTGATATATGGCATGATAATAATATGGAAGCATCTGCTATGCATACGAACCTGTGGGTTCTCCATATTAGGCTTGGATGCTTGAAATGCATCAACAATTACTGCCAGAATGAAAACACTGGAGATTTGATTTGGTTGCTACCAGCAACAATGTATTTCCAACACAGCAAGGTTGACGAAGCTTAGAAGCAATCACAACATAGTTAAAATAGGTTATATTGGCTAAGGTTAGACATTTAAAATTCAGGGCAGGTAAACCATAAATATTAAGCAAGTGTTACCTGCAGCAGCATCTACAAATATCTTTTGCCAGAGGTCTGTTATGGCAAGAAATGGACATTTTACCTTCCAGCTTCTAATTTGGTTTTGACTCCTACAACAGCAAGAACAAGTTAGCATTACCCAATTTATACTGGTAAGGGGTAGGGGAGGAAGATTCATCTTCTAACCCAGCTAAAATAGATGTTTGGAACTCTTACTCGTAAGAAACCCTATTTAACAGCACAGTCTGTTTCATATCCCAGTGCTACCTGGTTCAGTCGTAGCTATTCCCTATTGCTGAGATGATATTTGCTATGGATGAGATGGTAGATTCCAGATGGACCAAGAATCTGTCTCAGAAGGCAGATTTATAGAATCTCAGACAAGAGAATAACAGAGCTGGAAGGGATCTTGGAGGTCTTCTAGTCCAGCCCCCTGCTCAGGCAGGAAACCCTATACCATTTCAGACAAATGGTTGTCCAATCTCTTCTTAAAAATCTCCAGTGTTGGAGCACCCACAAGTTCTGAAGGCAAGTCATTCCACTGATTGTTCAGAATAGGTCAGAATATTCAGATTCAGATCAGAATAGGGCAACTGAAATCTATCGCAAAAATGTCAGATCTTTCTAACATACCTCAGTTTATTTTTAGTTCATCAGTTTATGTGGTTTTTTTAATAACCAGTTTGAGTTTATTACAGTACTTTACTTTTCACTCAAGGCAGCAAGCAGAAATTGAACAGTGCCTCTGAGCAGTGAGCGAATTGCATCTTATAGGGACCAACAGCGTTTGTTCCATCTTGGTCTCAGTTTTTCAATTTGTTGCGCCCATAAACAGGATCCACCTTGGAAACCGAGTTTATTTATTTATTTAAAACATTTATATGGCTGCTCATCTTTCAACCATATCTTGGCCAGCCCTCAAATCAAAAATTAAAATATATACAAAATCACTTTAAAACTATAAAACTCAACCAACTCAAACATTAATGTTTATTTGTTTAAAACATTTATATCTTTATAAGTTATGGGTAGCTTATGTATTTTCTAAATAAATAGAAATCATAAAGGAAGTCAAGGGGAAAAAAAGCCCTTCCCATTTCAGTCAATAGAGATTTTTGCTTCCCAACCATGAATAGAAAGAGGTTAAGTGCTGATGGATGTATCTTTTAGCATCCTGCCTTAACAAAAATTTGCATTTTTGCACTGGAGCAGACTTAACCTCAAGAGGGCACTCCTTTGCAAATATTTTCTTGAGCATTCATGCCTTTAGTCTGGCAGATATTCAAGTGTTAACATGCCAGAAATTGTCCATCTGAACCCTCGGGCATTTGAAATTCAGAGCATCATGGATTGTTTTAACAAGGGAATACACAAAAGACAAGGAGTTTAGCCAAGAATTTTACACTGGAGGTTTTCTGCCAAAGATCCTTTATGAGATTACCCATATTGCTCTCAGCAACCCTCTAAGTTTCATCACTCTTCTCAGAGACAGAGTTAAATTAATTTATAATTAGTAGTTAATTAAAAGATGGAATGCAGAGATAGAGAGATAGATGTACAGTATGTGTATGTTCACGTTTGTTTTTACGAGTATGGGAATATGGGCAGGAGGGTATGTGTATGGGCAGGAGATAATTATAAGCAGTGAGGTAAGAAGAAAATAGAACACAAAAAGCCAAATGTGTAACAGCCAATATTTACAGACACATTTATAAAAATTGAAGAAAAACTCTAGCTTTGAAATGTAAAAATATCCTGTAAAGGAAATCAAATGTGTTGTTCAAATGATCTTTGAATATATTTGCATTGCATTGAAAAGTTTTTTTTCCATTTCTCACAAGGTACCAAAAATGGAAATAATATTATGGCCTTTTTCTCTTTTTTTCTTTTCCTTCCTTCCTTCCTTCCTTCCTTCCTTCCTTCCTTCCTTCCTTCCTTCCTTCCTTCCTTCCTTCCTTCCTTTTTTCTTTCTTTCTTTTCTTTCTTTTTCTTTCTTTCCTTTCTTTTTCTCTTTCACTTTTTTCTTTTTCTTCTCTCTCTCTCTCTCTCTCTTTTCTTTCTTTTCTTTTTCTCTTTCCAAAAAAGTTCATGCATCTCTGAGGTAAATGGACAATTTACAAGCCCCATTCTCTCCCCTTTAGTTTTTCTATGGCCCAAAACATGACAAATTCCAGACTCTTCCTTCCCAAAGGGATGGGAAGAAGAAATGTTTGAGAGATTCAGGAGGTTCAACACAGAACGCATGATAGTACAACAGCAGCAGGGTCCGCCTCCATCTGCATCTCTGGCATAGGATGTCTGGTGGAAAAACAAGTGACAAGATTCCAGGGATACAGGTCTATTGCCACACAATGAAACCCTGCCTTCAAATCCTTAGCCCAAGTCTGCAAAATAGGACTTCTACTAACATTCACTTAAATAGGCACAGGCTACGTAGAATGAACTAAGCTCCCCATTTAAACTTACTGCATAGTGAGATCAAACAGGGATTGGATAGAGCGGAAACATGCAGGAAAGCCAGTCAGAAACTGGGGTCACAGATTGTGTTAAATCATTGTGTAATTACAATTAACTGAACAAAACATTTTCCCTTGGACTGTCTAACACATGATGCTCTCGTGAAGCCAAACTGATTGCATTGTGGCTTAATATGCTGGATAAACCAGGCTGTTGCCTGTTCAGATATATTTGTACATAGTTTCAATATAACAACTGGGTGGGACTACGGCATTTGTTTTTCTTTCTGAACCCAGAAATCTAAGACCAACATAGCTAAGAAACAGGTCCTCCATTTTTTTACCCCAAGGAAACATAGTGATGGATGGAAGGGAGCCCATGTTGTTAACAGCCATCTTTCAAAAATTATACAGACAATTAAAAGATCCACAAGTTGAGATTGGGTTGGCAAGATTAGTAAGATATAGCCAGTGTTAAAACTTATTGATCAAGTAATTACTCTTTTTCTGGGTTCGCATGATCCACCATACTGTAGGCTAAGCACAGGGCAGGAATCGCACAATATGCTGGCTTAAAAAGGGATTGACTTGGCTGCGATTCAGTAGATCAGGCAAGTGTAACCACTGCATGGAAATGTGTCCTTGTTTTCTTTTCACATAATGGCAGCATGTCCTCTCCACAGGAGCATTGGCAATATAACTATTGGATCTAGTGATTAAGGCACCAGGCTAGAAACCAAGGGAATTGAGTTCTAGTCCTGCCTTAGGCATGAAAGCCACTGGGTGACTTTGGGCCAATCCCCAGGGGATTGTGAATTCCCCTTCTGCTTTAGACATGAAAGCCAGCTGTGTGAATTTGGGCCAGTCACTCTCTCTCAGCCCAACACAGCTTCCAGAGTTGTGCGGAAAATAGGAGGAGGGGAGAATACATATGTTCACCATCTTGTTGTTGTTTTTTTTACATATAAAAAATAAAATAAATATTTTAAATGAACGGATGAATAAATCATCCAATCCCTTAAGATTCTTCAACCTGAACTCTTTCTAGAATTCAACTCCCAAAATTCTCAGAAATGATTGTGCTAGCTGAGGAATTCTGGGAATTAAAGTCCACACTTCTGCAGAGCAAACAGAATGCAGAACGGTCATCACTAGCAACACACAACTGGAAGGCTTGTGCAAAGAAACGACATCGATTGGCTTCATTCAAAACTCATACGCCAATTTTAACAAGTTTATTTAGTTTTCAGTACAGCAAAGAATGTGTACAGATCTACACGTAGCTCTGTAAAGAATGGGGGGGGGAAGTACTTGCAAGGCTGCCTGCTTGCCCACAGTGACGTTTTCCCACCTCAAAGACATTGTTTTTCTTAAGTTTATTTTTTGTTTTGAAAAAAAGAGCGTGAGAGAAGAATTTGCTTCCTCTGGCACATTCAGAATCAAAAAAGAAAATGAAGTTTCTTTCAAGGGTGAAATCAAAACAATCTGCTGATATGAGTGAGCTGATTTCATCAGACCATTAAATTCTTACGGAATCAGAGGAAAAATTGCAATGCAAAGCAATTGAGCAAGCATGTGACTCTTTTTTTTTTTTTTTTTTGGTGGCCAGGTTCCGCCTGGTCCTGCTACATTTCTCCCTTTGTGGTTGGGGTGCCTGATGCTGTAATAAAGTTTTGGCCAAAAAAGAGAGCACAGACGATCACTCTCAAGAAGGGGAAAGATTTACAGGCTGAACAATTGAGGGGGGATAAGAGGACACCCACTTCCGTATTAAACGAATGAACGACAACTGATACTGTATTAATTGCCTAATCTGACATGATTATTTAAGTCTCCCTGTGTCAGTCACTGCCTCCAACCTGACATTTATGGAACAAAGGCACTAGGATTTGAGGCACCGAAACAGAAAACAACATTCCTTCTCACTTTAGCATCCTTCTTCCCTGGAAGCTAAACCCCAGAAAAAATCCACCAGAGTTTTCAGTCTTTAGGTAGTCAGAAACATTCTCTTTTTTCCCAGCTTTACTATTATTATTTTTTAATGCGATGAACCATTTCTCCTGAAAAGCTTTGCATAGCGTGGGCTATTCTATAAGCCTCTCTCATTTGGGGAAGCATTATTGATATCTCATCTTCATCAGGAATAAAACAACTCTTCTGTCCTCAGAGATTTCAGATATCTATGTCGAACTGGGCTTCTTCACCTGCAAAAGAGAAAAACAATGGATAAAAGTGTCTATGGAGATTCTCAGTCATCCAGGTCATGGTTGTTTCAAAAGGGAGCTGGACTTTTTGTTTTTTCCCTGAAGACGTTTCACTTCTCATCCAAGAAGCTTCTTCAGTGCTGACGGTCAGAACACTGAGGAAGCTTCATGGACAAGAATCTAAACATCTTCAAGGAAAAACAAAGTTCAGTCACCTTTTGAAAAAGCATCTCTGCAATTGACAAAAATCTCAGTTTCATGTGTCTTCATCGGATGCCACGTACGCTTGAAAGCATTACTTCTCAAAGTTTTCCTGAACATTCCAGTTTTAACGGTGGACAGTCATTTCCAAAAAACCCTGCATAATTCGTTTTCCAAGAAGTAGTGATGAGATGAACATCACGACTTCTTCAACATCTACATAGCAATTGACAACTTATAATCCTCCAGCAGTCCAGTCTGGCAAAGGACAATAAAATTATTGCTTTGAAAGCTGGTGATTCGGAGGCAGAAGAAGCCTATAATCTGTGCAAAAATTTACTTCAATGTTCCCAGCAGAGAACAAAATACGCCCCCTTTTAAAAAAAAAATCTTTGGTTGCTAGTTTCGATAGTGGTTTTGCTGCAGCAAAGCAGTCAACAAAGATGCTCAGAAATGGAGAATTCCAAGAAACGTTGATCTCAACTTGGTTCATTTGCAACCACACTCTATAATCATAGGACCTATTTTGTTTAGGCAACACAAAACAAAACAAAAACCCCAGAGCCTAAGCAAACACAAACAAAACATAGGTACACTCAACGCTCTTGGGCCTAAGTCACAGTTCTGACATGAAAGCTGCTCTACTGTATTCTGAAAACAATCTGTGAGAGTTAAGCAGTTAAAAAAATCTTCAACACAGGTAGTTTTCGACTTACGACCACAAGGGAGCCCAACCTTTCTGTTGTTAAGTGAGTTTTGCACCCTTTTTACAACCTTTCCTGCCCCAGCCGTTAAGTGAATCTGGCTTCCCCATTGAACTTTGCTCGTCAGGAGGTCGCAAAAGGTGATCACGTGACCCAGGGACACTGCGGTTGTCGTAACTATGAGTCAGTTGCCGAGCATCTGAATTTTTATCATGTGACCATGGGTTTGAGGCAAAGGTTGTAAGTGTGAAAAATAGCCATAAGTCACTTTTTTCAGTGCCGATGTAACTTTGAATATTACATTGGCGACATGGCTATTTTTCACACTTACGACCTTTGCCTCATGCCCATGGTCACATGATCAAAATTCAGACACTCGGCAACTTACTTTTGTAAATTAAAGATTACGGCCCATGATCATATATATCAGTGATGGCGAACCTTTTAGAGACTGAGTGCCCAAACTGCAACCCAAAACCCACTTATGCATCATTGGGTGCCGGATGGGTGTGGCCCATTGGCTGGGCATGGCCCATTGACTGGGCGTGGCCCATTGGCTGGGCATGGCTGCGGTGATAACGGCAGACTGGGTGGGACTAAAAAGTTCAATTAATCAATTCCAACTTTGCAAGATCTTTTTTTTTCCCTATGAGAAGTTGAAATTGATTGGTTGATTGAACCTTTTTTTTTGTACATGGCGGCGGAGGCCTAAAGCGGAAAGGTTTTATAAAACCCAGCTGAAGGCCTAGGACTGGGGCGACGGCACATGTGCCCACAGAGAGGGCTCTGAGTGCCGCCTCTGGCACCCGTGCCGTAGGTTTGCCACCACTGATATATATAAAGAAAGATACAAATTGATAAGCTTATTAAAATTCATTTCACTGAAATATAGTTTTACATTTAAAAATGTTTGATGGAAGCCGTCAACATAGGAAAGTTTTAAAAGAAAGGCAACATATAAATAAAGACCCGTCTTTGTCAAGCATGCTCTGTCTTGCGGATTCCAGAAAGACATCTGGGAATGTCCAAAGTAAGAGAAGGCAAGCAAAAACATCCCTAATATTCAGACGCAGAGCTTCCGAACATGGAGGAAATGGTCAACAGCTGCTAACGGGCTGCATTTTCTCCAAAATGATCTAATCCCCTTCCCTAACATCTAAATCACCCATCATTTAATAGGAAACTCTACATCAGGGACGTCCAACTTGGCAACTTTAAGATCTGTGGACTTCAACTCCCAGATGGTTACCGATGCAGAATTGTGTAGGGAATTTAAATGGAACTCCACAGGCTAGCAACGAAGGGAATGTATTCTAATCCTGCCTTAGGCATGAAAGCCACCTGGGTGACTCTGGGCCAATCACCAGGTGACTGTGAGTTCTAGTCCCACCTTAGCCATGAAAGCCAGCTGGAGTAGTCACTCTCCTTCAGCCCAACCCAACCTCACAACAGAATTGTTGTTGTGAGGAAAATGGGCGGAGGAAAGTCTATTGAATATATTTGCTACTTTGAGTTAGTTTAAAAAATAATAAATAAATATGAATAAATAAAATATTCACATTACCCATCAAATCTCAGGTGGTCAGTTAGAGCCAGCATTCATGGTGAAAACATGTAGGGTTTTTATGACAGATCAAAACTGACCAGGCTATGTTGGTTTGGCACAGAGAAAAAGCAATATCTGTAACCCAACTCAGCAACCACGCCATGTGATTTGTACACGTGACCACACACCTAAGCCTGGTTTCTCATCGTCAGCAGACATAAAGTTGACCTCGGTCTGGAGCTCATCCACACTTCGATTTGTCACACCTGGAATGTCTGGAAGATTGCAAGGTGGTGTTTTGGCAACTGGAGAATTTCGGCACGCCATTAAAAATTTGCGGTCATAAATAATGCGGGTACCTATAAGAGAAAGATACCTACAATTTACTGCTGTTCTCAGAGAGTTAAGGAACCAAATATTGCTTAGAAAGAATTTCCAGTTAACCTGCCATGTACTTGTACTTGTATATACATTGTACTTTTGTCTATAATTTTCGTTTAAACTTTTAAATGAGAAGATAAAAACGAATGGAAATTAAGGTAAAGTAAGGAAGAAAAAAAAAAACGAAATCAAGGAAAAACGGCAAGAAAAGAAAAAGTTGTAAAAAAACCAGAAAAGGGGGAAAGTGGCTTGTGATATTCTTCACAACAGTTTTAAGTACAAATATATTTTAGCCTCTTTCTAAAGTTATATCATATTGCTCTTTTTATAATCTATCCTATCTAATCATCAAAACCATAAATAACAAGCTCATTTTTTTCATTTTTATACAAAAAGTCCATAAGAGACTTCCAGTCACCAACAATTGTAGATAATGTCTTTTCTCTAACCAAAGTAGTCAATTTATTAATTTCAGGAAAATTTTTCAAGTTCACCAACCATTCCTCCATTGTGGGTAGTGTCATATGCTTCTATATCTAACTAGACTGCACTTTTAATATTCGACAGCTTGTCTCCTTCCCCAATCAGGGTTAGATTTTGGCTTGTTTTCACAACCTGGCTCAGTCTTTCTTATTTGCTCTGTAAGACTGGATGGAATCAGGCTGATTTACGTAAAAAGGTGGAAACTCCTGGGGAAAGTAAAGGGTAATGTGCAGAAGCCAATAAACCTGAAAAACAGATTGAGGTTCATCATAACCCCTGGTCATAAAACCGTGGTTTTCCACAACAATGAAAGCTGGCCAGTAAATCTGTCTCCATGACACTTGGTCTGAAACCCTATGATTAATAGTAACTGAGAAGTAAGCAGCATAACATAATTGCTTATGTGCAGGCATGTGTGATTATCTGGACAGTTTTACAAGGAGAAGTGCACATTAGCCTTACTTTCCTCTTTTGGGCAAGAAGAACAGAACAAGCATGAAAGGAAAACAAGGGATGATATGCAATCTTACGTAAATTTGCAACCGGTTGAGGCTGCGTAAAACTTGTGAGCAGATCTGATTCTTTTGCTTATTTCAAGGTCTATCGTTAAGAATGGCTGGTTCTTCTTGGTCTAGAAAAGTGTCCAAACATGGCAACTTTAAGACTTGTGGGTCTTCAACTCCCAGACTTACCCAGCCAGTAGGTCTTAAAGTCATCAAGGTTGAACATTCCATTCTAAAGCAACTTACCACTCAGCCTTCAAGAAGAAAGCAAAGCAGAGATAGTCCCACAACATTGGAGTCTTGATTGCCTTTCCTATGCTGTTACCTTTCCCAGATATTTTTCACCACAAAAAAGGTCTCATGGGGGACCATTAGAACTGGAGGCAAACGAAGTCCTTTTATTGCAATAGATAGGTTTATGTGTGACCACTAGAAGGAGCCTTGTACTCTTATTTTGCTTCTGTATAGAGGCAGTAAACACAACATTTGCAAGTCCTCTGGTTGGGCTGAGTAACTGACTCCTTCCAGTTTTGAAATGTATATTCTACATTAGGCAATCAATTCCCGAACAGCCACCCATCCTAGGTCTTCATCCATGCAAACTTTTTAAATTTTTCAACTGTATTTCAGCCTTTTGCCACTTCAATAGAACAAAGAAAGAAGAAAAATGTGCAAGTGTCCCTTAAAAAAAAAAAGATTGTGAATTAACAGCAGAGGAATCACTACAGCTAATTTGACTATGTATTCTTTTCTGTTTTGACATTTTAATGCGCTTGGTTCAGCTTCACTGCACCTGAAATTCTATGTTTCTCTTTGCCTGCTGACAACAGGATTCAAGAGCAAGATTATTTGTCATTATGATAGACTTTTTCAGTAATTTATTGTTCCTACTAAGTTCTTAATAAGATTCTTCCTGCTTTTGTAACTGCCTTCCAGCAGGAATGTAATGACAGAGAATTAGGAGGAAATAGTGTATATTTTCAGAATTTGCATTCAACACTGAGCTGGCCAAGCAGTTTCCAAATATAGCTTTAAGTACAAATCTTTTAAAACCCAAGCTAAGAAAACTGGGACTTTATTTTTTTAGGGTTAAACATTAAACCCCCCAAAACCCGAAGCTTCAACCTCAAAACCACAATGCGAGAACTTGCCTTATTTGTAAACTTTATTGTGGTCATTGACCAATTCAAACGCATACACACACACCACAAATTCCGAGACAGCAAGTAAAGACAGTAAGAAAACTTAATTCTAACACCGAAGCAATCAAAATGTGGCATATTTCCAAAAAAAAGCAAAACATTTAGAGAAATCAAGCCACGCTGATCAGACTAGTAGGAAATTCAATGAAATGGAGAGTTATTAGCTGTAAATAGGCATCTTAGTAATAAGACCAATAGCAAAGCATGGGTTTATATTTCAGCTGTTGCCTTAGATTTAAGTAAATTCCAGTAATTAAAAAAAAAGGAGGTAGAATTGTGGTCCCCCAAGATTTTTATGTGCAAGTATTTTTTTTTTTGCTGCTGAATTGGCATTTTAAGCTGACTAGATGATTATTAAAAATATGGGAATAATCATAACTGCATCAAATTAGCCCAGTTTGAATTAAGTTTATATCTAAATGCAAAGCAATGATATTTAGTTTTTGGTCAGACCCCCACCTCTGTTGGGAGTATAGGACCTGCTTCTCAAAAGCTGAATGCAAAGATTAAGAAAGCACATTGCATGAGGCATTCAAGGAAGGTTGCAGAACCTGTGGCCCTAGTCTTGCCATTCCCACTGGCTAGGCCAGGATTATGGGAGCTGTAGTCTAGCAGCAACTTTGAGTAGCGTAGCTGAGAGTCTTCACTTCTCCTCCTAAGGAGAGCCACACTTTCGCATTTACACCAAGGAACTGTTTTCAAGTACTTAAGTTCTGCTGCCGAGTAGCACTATTTCCTTGGCCATATTTCGATCAAACCTTTCAAACATATTTTTTTTCAAAAAGAATTGGTGGAAAATGGGTGACAAAAAAAAAATCAGGTTTCCCCCGTTTGGAGCCATTAGAGCTAAATTGTTTTCCAACCATCTGAAGTTTGATGCGTTTCCAGGAACAAGGTGGGTGGAGCGGGGAGGAATTCAACGGTTAGGAGTCCACAGCTCAGAGCTCCACCCGATACTGAACAGCAATGAATCAGGATCTGCAGACAAGCGGCTTTCCCTGCTTCTGACGCCTGCCAGCTGCTGGAACACCCGCAGAACAAAGACTGTTTTCCTAGAAATGTTGTCACTGTACCAGTTATTGCAAGAACATTTCATAAGGGGTTCACCGGAGGTCTGAATCCCCGAGTTTATATTCAGACACACGCTCTCGAGACTCCTGTTTGCTTAATGTCATAGCCAGACAGGGTAAAAACAGAGGGCTTTGAAATGTTTTCAGTTGCTGGAGGGGGAACGGAGGCATTCAGGCCTCGGCAGTAGTCCTCAACTTACGATCCACGATTGAGCGCAAAATTTCTGTGGCTAAGTGAGACATTTGTTACATCAGTTTTGCTCCAGTTGTTAAGGGAATCACTGCAGTTGTTAAATTAGTAACACGGATGTTAAGTGAATCTGGCCTCCCCACTGACTTTGCTTGTCAGAAGGTCACAAAAGGGGATCACGTGACCCCAGGACGCTGCAGCAGTCATAGTACATGCCAGTTGCCAAGCGTCTGGATTTTGATCATGTGACTATATGGCTGCTGCAAAGATCGTAAGTGTGAAAAATGGTCATAAATCACTTTTTTCAGTGCCAGTTGTATCTTAAAATAGTCACTGAATGAACTGTCCAACCCTATACCATTTCAGACAAATGTCTAGTCTCTTCTTAAAATCTTCCAGTGTTGGAGCATTCACAGCTTCTGGAAGCAGGTTGTTCCACTGATTAATTGTTCTAACTGTCAGGAAGTTTCTCCTTAGTTCTAGGTTGCTTCTCTCTTTGGTTAGTTTCCATCCGTTGCTTCTTGTCCTGCCTTCAGGCACTTTGGAGAATAGCTTGATTCCCTCTTCTTTGTGGCAACCCCTGAGATATTGGAACACTGCTATCATGTCCCCCCTCGTCCTTCTCTTCATTAGACTAGACATCCCCAATTCCAGCAATCGTTCCTTATATGTTTTAGCCTCCAGTCCCCTGATCATCTTTGTTGCTCTTCTCTGCACTCTTTCTAGAGTCTCAGCATCTTTTTTACATCATGGTGACCAAAACTGGATAAAAACTGGATAAGTAATGACAACCTGGAGTTTCCAAATATGTTGGCTTGCTAGCCTTTTCAGAACAACACCATGCTGCTTAGATATTCTGCAAGATTGAGCCCAACCTCGCTTGGAGAAAACTGGCCAGAGTCTTCATGAAAGGAAGCTCTCCCTGAACAACAGTGGGAACACTTTATGATCATGTTCAGAAAAGGTCAGGCATGAAAGACCAAGGCTACATATTAAGTTCCAATCAAACTGATTTATTGCTGAGGCCTAGGCAAAGGAATCTAATCAACTAATGAGTAGCACTATTTTGTAATGGAATTCAGGAGGATTTGGTCTTAATCCGTTTGTGGTTATGTAGTGATTCTAGGCAGGTTCCTCTTTTGACTCTGCCCCCAGGCTCTCTCACTCCTTCTCCTACAAAAAGAGAACAGTGTAATGGTATGCAGAAATGACTTAGGGAGACAGGAGGAAGAACTGCAGATTAAGCAACCTTCATGCAAATGATATCTCGACCTATAGAAAGAAAAGGGATGTGTGTGGGGGGGGGGGATTAGAGAAGAGACCATCTCTACTTCACTGGAGAGTAAAAAGGAAAGGAAGGCATCCTGCAAGATTCTGTTAATTTATCTTTACAATAAAGCCAGACTTTAGTATCCTAGCTGTGCTGGACTATCTTGAAAAGCCAACAATCAATCTTACTTTTTTTAATTCATCTCTCAATTGTCCCCAAACACCACTATGTCTGGTGTTTGGGGACAATTGTCTTTTCAG